GTAACTAGTTACTCCCCAACACTGTGTGAGCCTGTCCATGTGCTGGGGATAGGGATCCTTGACAGTGACTTTAAACATATAAGGGAAAATTAATAATCTCTCTCTCTCTCTCTCTCAATCCTCTTTTTTCTAAGAGATGTAATGGAGGGTGTGCAGAAAAAAAAACATTCCATCAGTTTGCTCTCTCGTTGATTACACCTCTCTGAAAAGTAAGCTTGAAATGAAACAAGAAACGACATGAGAGTGAAGGCTGGAGGAGAATTGGAAGGAAAAGATGAAGGAATGCCAGACAGGATGCATATATTTTCTGTGGTCTCAACAAATGCTGTATTTTATTTTCCTTAAAAGCATTTGAAGCCAACAGTGGATGTACCAGTCTTGCTAACTCAATAAATAATTTCAATAATTCGTTTTTTATTCATCAGTATCAGTTGATTTTGGATATTTAATTGTGCTTATATTCTATAATAATTTGTATCTCCTATTTTTTTTCTCTTAAATAACTTTAAGAGAAATACTTAACTCTTAAATAACGTTAAAGAGTAATCTTTATAAACACAGGTATTTACTTATACTGTTAAATGTAATCTTAGCAAATCTCAAAATGAATATCCATTTCTCCTAATGTACATTATAATGTTGTGATGCCTACATTTTCAGTGTTTTATTTTTAATTTATTTAATTTACAAATAATATATCATTTTAATATTATCCGTTCACTGGTTGGAGGCCATAACATTTCGAACAATTAACAATTATTGACTTATATTGATTTTGTATAGAATTTTAATATTGGACAATGCAGTATTTTACTATAAGCTTATATTATATTACAGCATGGAACAAAAGTATATATGTATTGTATGACAGTATATAATGTTGAATTTAAAAATAAGAATGAAAATGGAATAGAATTATACAAATAATAAAAGCAACAACCAAGACTGAGGGTGTATGGATGCATAACAAGCCTTAGTTTCACATATAACAATCCTTTAGTTTCCAACAAATTTCGGAAAGCACAAAAAACAACTTTCAGAATGTGAAGAAGAGAACTTTCCTTTTCCTTCCAACCATTTAACTGAGAGCTTTTATTTCAGACCAATATAACACCTTGTTCAACCTAGAGAGTGTTGGACTTCAGCTTCTATTGTCTTTGTCTTGTTCTTTCACTTTTCCTTCAATCCATTAAATTGAATCTTTTCACAGTCCCTCAAAAGGCTCCATTCAACTCTAAATTTGAAAGTCCCTACTGTTTGAAAGCATGATGTGCACTTTACAGCCAGTTACCATGGAAACCAGGTGATTTAAATGGAAACTGTGGATTGGGTTTGAAAGCTAAGACTGATTGGATATGTTTTGATTTTGCTGACATTGTGTTTGTATGTTGTGTGTATGTGTGTCAGTAAGGTGGCAGTTGGGTGGAAATACAATAAGTGCATGTGTGTGTGTGTGTGTGTGTGTGCATGTTTATGTGGTTTATGAGGACACAAATTTGTATAATAACATGGGTATGACATAGGTATTACAACGAGAAGGTGATTTATGAGGACATTTTCAGTGTCCCCGTAATTCAAAGGTGTAGGGCAATAGAAAATACGGTTTGTACAGTATAAAAACCATTACGCCTATGGAGAGTCCCCATAAACCATAAAAACAAACCTGTGTGTGTGTGTATATTTAGGTGTGGTGTGGTATTCTGTTTCGTCCTGCTCCACAGGGTGGGACTCTGGTTTTATTTTAGTTGGCCACTTGCTGTTGGTTGATCAGAGCATCAGAGTAGAGAAAAGGATCAGTGAAGCTCTAAGTGTGTTTACAAGAGCATCCATCAGCCATGTGCTGAAAGCAATAAATGAGCACACAAATACCAGCTATGATATTCTACCTCTATCCAAATGCATTAAAATATCTATCCACAAAAGATGTACCTGTGGCAAGACCAAAAGCCATATAAATGTATTAATTCAGTTTTTAATTCTAAAAAAAAATGTACACAATGTACACAAATGTTTTAATTTGAAGGAATTTTCTGTATTGATTTTTTACAGGTGTGTTTACCTGTTTCATTATTTTGAAGTTTTCACTTCATTGCGTTGTACTTTAGGGTTAATGGACATTTTTGTAAAATTAATGGATAATGTCCTGGTGATGAGCTGCCAGTACCTTTTCTGTTATTTTACAGATTTATTTATTATAGTATATTACATTTGTGTGTGTGTGTGTGTTTTCTCATTTGTTCATAAATGGGGCAATAGATTTGACCAGTTGCGATTTATCCAGTTTTAGAAACAAAAATTTTCCTAATCAGCAAAATGTACAATTTATATTATATATGCCATATGCATGTTGTAATTTCAATTTCATGTTGTATAGGATTAGTAAGAAAACATAAAGTCAACCAAGACCTACAATTTAGCATGGACACCTGAAATAATTTTTTAGTGCTCTGAATTTATTCAGCTATTTCTGCAAATGCAAATATAAATCTTTACCCCATGGGCATCTCAGAAAGTTCTTGAAAGCCAAATGAGCTCTGATAAGATCAGTTAATTAGAAAATCAATAACAATTTCAGAATGCATTGTTTAAGAGTAGGCCCACCCACGATATTAAGATTAGAAATTAATCATGGTTAGAAAAAAATGGCTAGATTCTGGTTAATGACAACATTGACATGTTGGTGATTATAGCAGTCGTGACAACTATCATTTTCAGCAGCTCAATCTAAAACTGTTGTCACTGCGGTCATTAAACACAGACAAAGCAGTGGCACACATGCAGCTCATTGCAGCAGTTGGTGCAGGGGAAGCCTTTTATAGATGTGAGGGGATAGTTCATGTAATCGACACACTCTTCGGTTTATCTTGCTGTCTTTGAGGTGGGAGCTTTGAGGAAACCCTGCCGTACTGACGCCAGGCGCATTAGGGTGTGTTGATAGGGCTTACATTGAATGCACAGCATAATTTACGACTGCCAAACGGTCAGCATGTGGGAAGTTTGGCACAGACCACTCAGCTCAGGAGGAGGTGTCATTCTGAAGTACTGACACATTTGATGGGTCGTAATTTATAGTCCTGCCTTGTTTATTTATTTACATATTCAACCTCATCTTTAAAAGTTACAATTGTGAAACATGAAATGAAACCATGTGCTAACTGTGCTTATATTGTGCGTATCTCTCATTTTTGTATATTGATAATTTAATTGAAGAACAGGTTGCTGTATAGCATTGACATTTTCTTAGAGGCCAGGGAGGTAGTGGATAGGAAAATAATCAAAACTTTGGGAAAGCTTATTTTAGAGCTTAGTTAGCACTATGTTTAATTTTTGACCAGAATGAAAACGAGGATGTGAGAGAGAAAAGTTCAGTGTGTTCAATGGATTGTATGTTAACAACATGTGAAATGTCTAGCTGAGAAAACATCTTTCTAAAACACTTTCTGTAGACAAAAACCATAAAACAATTTTGAAAGTTGTGAGCTGTCAAAATTCCATCTAATCTAGAATATATACAGTGCAGAATACTAAGAATATATTGGAAGATTTGAAGAGCCCTGATCAGAGAGGGGGCCTGACGCAAACACCCTGCAGGAGGTTATATTATCAAATATTATCAAAATGTTCCCAAGTATGTTAACTGAATATTATAACAAATTACATTTTTCATTTTATTCTTATTTTTGACAGGGCTTAGCCATTAAAAAAAATCTTAGCCATTAAAAATGTATTATTAAACAAAAATCTATATGGCCTTGTTCTTCAGAGTTACTAATGTTTTTGCCTCCCTTGAGAGAAATAAAATTGACGAATCACGTGACAGGAGGCAGCGCCTCCACGTCACTGTGATTGGCTGCCTACCCTGTCAATGTTATAATCCCGCTTATCCTGTGAGCAACAGTTATGGTGCGTTCAAGTCATGTCGGATAGATCGTATTTACGAGTTGAACGCACATGAACGCCACCACAAAGTCGTTATTACCAGTGGGAAACTCGACATTTTCTTTAAGCACCGAGTTTCCGAGTTGGGGGCGTGTCGATGAGAAACATGGCAGAATCGATGGATGCAACGTCTGTAGTTGACGGTAATTTTTTGTTTAAATTGATAGTTTAGTTGTCCTATAAACTTAAATTGGTCATGTTCTTGTTACGCAGCTGAAATCCAAGTAAAAAATGCAGACCTTGTTGTATTTTCTTGTAATTTATTAAAAGAAGGTACACCGCCATCTTGTGCTGACTAAACTGACTTGAACGCACCTGACGTCGTAATTACGACTTGTCAACTCTTAAGTACGAACGTCCCAGGAGGACTTGAACGCAGCATTACAAACCAACTAGTGAAAATGCATGGAGAAATTAAACTAACCTACTTGGATGTAACCACTTTTTAATCATGCCTGAATTGAAATGAACTTAATGTTACTTCCTGGTCTAAGTTATAATGAGACCTTCATGATCGGTGATATGTTACGCTTAATTCAGATGCTCTCTAAATGATCGTAAATACCAGTTACCGCATTGGAAGTTGCATATGAACTACCCCTCAAATCATTAACAATACAATATACGCATATTGTAATTTTTACATGGAGGACAGTGAATGAAGTGGACAAACCCTAGCTGTTCTCCCCAACCACAAAGTACTTGAACTTGACACAATTAAGCGCGTGAAGGCTGCATTATTGACTAATGGTCTAAAAAGCATCAGGTGACCATAATAATAGCCAAACACTAGTTAAAAACGCTAAACTTGAGACTTCTATGTAACCTGTTTTACGTAGTATATCAATGTATAAAAATATATATTGTATCGGTTAGCCTACTTGTAATTACTTAAGCATTTTAATTCAGAAACATCAAGTGGAACTGGAACATGAATTTATATTGGATAAACAACGGAAGAGGGAGACTTTTGCTTCCTGCACTAGCTACAAACCGTGTGTGATAGTTTTTAAGAAAGGAAGGTCTGGAAAGTTCCCCTGAAGAGAGCTTAATTTCTTCGGTCCCGTTAGTGTGAATGACACGCGCTTTGCTGGAGAGCTGTTTGGTTTGTGACGCACGGGTGACCATTGAGCTGCGCGAAGTGCTCAGTATCAGTTCAGTTCAGCTCAGAAACACGTACGCTAGTAATGTTGGGCTCAGAGGACCACGGAGAGACTCGCAAACGAAACGGTACAGGTAAGCGCTCCTTTCATTGACTATACTTTCAGTATGACTGTCGGTTTAGATTGAAACGGCAGGTGTTCGACCAAAACCGAAAGGAGGATAAGTTTGGATGCGTGAGTGACATGCTGTCAAAGACGAACAAATGATTTATATCCGTGTCATCAAATACCGACTGAAATAAACTTATCTTGCAAGAATGTTGAAACTGTGTATAAAAAGTATAACGGAGATATTGTAGAGGGAATTAATTTGAATTTTAAAGCCATTTTTGTCGTTCTGCTCTGTGATAAAGCATTGCTACTTGTTTACTTTGCTGTCAAAACAGGCAATATTCCTCTGGCATCCTGATAATGGATGAAACTTCAGAAATGCCGTGTGAGAGCTCATTGCTTCAGACAATAACCCCGTCATGATGAATGTGCCTTGACATTTATCATATTTTTCAGTTCATTGATTTTATTACAAGCACATTAAGGGGAAATAGAAGGAGGGTCTTGGTTTCCCCATCATAACTTGGAAAAGTATAACCTGTAGTTTTTTATATATGCTTTTTATGTGTAATATTCTCTGACCATACTGTAGTTTATCATATTTGAACTATATTTGCTGCCTTGTGTGTGTTTTACTGAAAACATTTAGGGTAAAGTAAAAAAAAAAAAACAGCAAACACATTCCATTCCATTCCAGTCCTTAAGTTTGGCATATTGGTTTGTTCGCTGTGCTGCAAATCTGACATACATGACAGGCTGCAAACGATGACCCAACAGCAGTTTAAACGCTTATCTTAAAAATGACAACATGATTATTTCATCAGGCATTCTAGTAAATGTGCTTAAAACGGGAGTTGTACTTCTTGTCCTGTTTGAAATATCCATCAGGATCTGCTACCACCATGGTTGTGAGATGGAACTAGCCCACAACCCTACCTCAACCCCTAAAACATGCATTAGGTGGATATGTATATAGTGTGGGCTGATCATTCTAGAGATAAGTCCATTTCACCGGTTTGGTCTGAACTGTTGTTTGCATGTTTTCTGTCTTAATTTGAGTTGATTTGGCATCCAGTAGATACACAGGATTGTCCACTTTCTAAGAGCAAAAAAAGACTTAGACTAAGAGAGTCATTCTTCTGAAGAGGGATTTAAATATGATCATTTTCTGGTTAGCTTATTCACTTTATATGTGTATTTGTATTTGTATTGTCGTTTTTGAATGCCGAATGACAGTGCGCTCTCAGTTTTGGTATTTGATCTTATTTAGGTGAATAAGTTTGGCTTTGAAATATTCACTTTTAGAGAGATGTCCATGCCTTAATATATCTCCTTTACATTTCAAATCTTTCCTTCGCTCATGATCCTTAATCATAATTTGAAATTGCTGAACACCAATTTTCCACATTTCACAGTGCGAGAGTGAAAGCTCGTTCTGCATCGCATAGCAGATGTGTGGATCAGAGATGCTCATCTGTCTCTAGAGGCAATACGAGAGATGATGCATAGACTCAGCCAGTCTATTTGTCCACTCTGACGGGTCTGATATTGACAAATGAAGACCATTTTAAAATGTATTCTATGCCTTACTTTTTTAACATTGCTTTTTTCCCACCTCTTTCATTATGTGCGAAACATGCAAAAGTTGATGTGTATTTCAATGTCTGTCACGGGTGTGTTAAAAATAAAGGGCTTTTTGAAAAGCTTTGTTACATAAAGTATCAGGAAGGAAACTGCTTACAATTTAAAGCAATGCTTGGCCTATTTCAAGCACAGACTTTTTGAAGAACACAATAACTCTAATTTACATAAAACACCTCTTCTCCTCGAGCTGCGTCACTCCTAGTGAATGCCACATTGTGATCTAAGAGAGGAAGTGCTTTATTCTATAAGACCAAGGCCATTGCTTCAAGGTGAGCACTAAGAGGATGATTAAGGACCAACTCAAATAATCAATCTAATTTACTCTTGAGGTTTTATTATATAGATTCTCAAAGATTTATTTAAACCAACCACTTTCCCAATCCACAGCGAGCGACATTGGTCTTTCCGTACTGGATGTCGATGGTCTTCTTGTGTTCTGAATAGGTGCCAGCGGCACAAACAGATAAATCACACAGGGAAGAAATGCTTTCAGCTGGGCCAGGATGATGTTGACGCACTGCCTCTTTTGCAGTGATCATGCCTATGTGCACTTTGCTTTTACCTCTTCTGTAGATTCAGTCTTGCTACCTGTCTCAGTTATGAAATAGGACTGATTTACAAATACAAATGCTTTTAGAGGCACTGATTTGTTGGCAGGGGGTTATAAATGTCCAATTTCCAATAGGCATACAGACCACACAAGTGATGCTGTGTAGAGAATGCCAGCTATTAGGATTTAGCGTGAAGAGGCAGCTGTTGATTCTCTTGGCAGTACTGGCTTGTGGAAAGGCTGGATTTTCTCATATTCTCTTACAGTCAGTGTATAACACTGGAGATTTGATATTAGACTAGATATATTTTGGCAATGTATCTTTGGTATGCTTATTTATGTTTATGACATTCTGCCTGCATCTCTTTTTAAAGGATTTAGATGCAGTACATCTATCATTATCTTCATTCAGGTAATATTGAAAGGGGCTATGTATCAAACAATATTACAGTCTGAACTGATCGTTCTCTTACTTGCCGGGACAGTAAATCATTGTTTACAAAGTTTCATGGCTTCTCCTCCACAACAGCTGTTTAGTTAATTGGTTAAAGAAAACATTCAATTTCTGCCCATTTAACAGAACAAGACATGTAACCAGTGCCATATACTTGTTTTGCTTTTATTTTTAGTTATTTTGGTCTACAGAGAATTTCTTCAACGTACCGTAAATTTGGTTCATCTATTCTTTTTTTACTTTCATTTTAATGATAATATAAATGGCCGTTATTTCAGTACTATTGTATCTAAATAAATTAAAGTTCTAAATTACTAAAATACTAAAGTACTCACTAGGGCTGTAAAATCGATGAATCGCGATTAATTGATTTTACAGCCCTAGTACTAACATTAAAAACACAACACTGAAAACCAAAATGAACCATTTTAAACACTGCACTGTAAAAAATTATTTGTTGGTTTAACTTAAAGTTAGTAACTTGGTTGCTTTAAAATGTTAAGTTTATTGAAACTAATAACTTCAGTTATTACAAAGATAGTGATTTTGTTGTTTCAACTAATATTTTGTTCTAAGAATCAAAGATTTTTTTTACTTAATGTTGTCTAGTTGTCATAACTTTGGATTAAATATTGTATCAACTTATTCAAGCAATCAAGAGAATTAAATACTTTCAAATTTAAGTTCACTCAACTACATATAGTTTTTTATAACAATAACCTAAAAAGTTTACGTGGTTGCCTTAAAATTATGAGTTAAATAAACTCAACTTCATTTAATTAGAAGAGAGTTTTACTCAAAGAGATTAAATTTAGGTGTTTTATATTATCTGTTTAAATCTTTATATATTATCTATTAAAATCATACCATAACAGCTTCCAGGACAGCCAGGAACCTGAATTTCACAGTCCACATTGCTAAAGCGGTTATCCTTAATGTTGTTTTGTTGTCATAACTTTGGATTAAATATTGAATCAACTTATTCAAGCAATCAAGAGGACTAAGTAAACTTTAAAATTTAAGTTCTCTCAACTACATATAGATTGTTACAACAATTAGCCTACCTAAAAATTTTACATGGTTGCCTTAAAATTATGAGTTAAATAAACTTCAACACAAGTTAACATGACAAACGTTTTGTTAACTAATTATCCTGTCATAACAGGGAGCACAAATAAACCATAATTTAAACATTCATGTTTATTAAAACATTCACATATGTCAGGGCTCTCGTGGGAGGCAGAGATGATTCAAATAGCATTCAATAATAATTCAATAATAATCCAAGGAGAAAAGGGATATCCAAGAACACACAGGGAAACACGAACAGCACACATAACAATAAACAATAACCCGCAAGGAAGGACTAAAAGGGAGCAACTTAAATACACAGATCAAATGAGGATAATTATCGAACACAGGTGAACAGAATTAACTAATCGAGGGAACTAAGGAAAACTGGGTCAAGGGACTGAAACAAGGCAGGAGAACCGAAAAACACAGAAAACAAAGTCCAACTGTGAGAGTGCTCCCTCCTCCGGCCAGGCACAACTTCGCTCTGTAACGAATCAACAGAAGGAGGAACTGAGGGGGACTTAGGAGGAGGATAAAGGAGTGGAGCAGGGATGGTGACAAGGGATGGCAAAGGGCACGCCAGAAGGCAGGCAGTCGACCAGGGCAGCGTCGATGGAGGGAGGAGCCATGGAGGGATCAGGAGGAACCATGGCGGACCAGATGGAGGGAGGAGCCAGGACGGAGACAGAAAGAACCAGGGCGGACCAGACGGAGGGAGGAGCCAGGATGGAGACAGGAAGGACTTGGAGCAGGAGGAGCTAGGCGGGACCCAGACCGCAGCCAACATGACCGCCCATGGTGGAGCCGATGGAGGGAGGAGCCAAGGCGGAGGAAGGGCTGACAACTCCAGGGGGGCGACTGACAGCGGCAGAGCAGGTGGGAGAGGAGCCCGATGTGGAGACGGAGAGCCGCAGAGCCAGGGCGATGGGGAGGATCCGGAGGGCCAAGGCAGAGAAGATGGCTCAGGCGACCGAGGTGTAGGCAGGGATCCGGAAGGCCGCGGTGGAGCCGGAGCAACAGAGGACCAAGGTGGAGCTGGAGGGAGGGAGGAGCCCAACGGAGCCGGTGGGACAGATCGACAAGGTTCAGCCAGAGGAGTCCTGAGGCGATGGGGGGGTCGACGACTGACCAAGCTGGAGGGACAAAGAAGCCCAGCGGAGCTGGTGGACTGACGGGCCACGGCGGAGAGGAGGGAGCTAAGAGCCATGGTGCAGCTGCTGGGTCGATGGGCCGAGGCAAAGTCCGGGACTCAGACGCTGGTGGTGGAAATAAGGGATCCTCCAGACACGACGCCAATGGA